AGACCTACTGTATATATAAAGCATCTCTACATCTATTTGATCCAGACAATGCCTTCATGCAACTTTGTCCCCAGAATACCAGAGCCACCTTTGTTCATGCATCATCATGGTTGAGCATTTGCTTATAGTACTAAGATGCTGGCCCATAAATGACACAATAATGTAAATCCTGGTGTCTATGCACAAGCCTTTATATTTCTGGCTGCATGTTTATACACATCTCGCATACTGTAGCTCAGCTCCCCCTGTTTGTCTCTCACTTCAGCTGTCAGAAGTTACAATGTTATGACAGTCCCAGTGAGTGATAAATGGCAGTGTGGAGACTAAAGAAATGCTTCATCCTACCTGTAGAGGACAGATGACCTCATTCCCCCAGACTCTCTCTCGTAGACAATGAGAAACTGAACATAAGCACAGTCACTTGGCTAGAGCTCAAGTTCTCCTTTTTCTTAATATTAAAGTGACACTAAACTCAGGAATCGGCAGTATGTTTTCGCTCACTTCCCGATCAATAGAGCCGTCCTGTGACAGTTTCAATGTCACATGTCAGCTTTAACTATGAGGAGGAGTGTAATTCACTCACCCCATAGTTCTCCTTTAACTCCTGAGTTTAGTATCACTTTAAGTAGGGATGCAAGGATACCGATACTTATTCTGGTACTTCCGGGATCAGGCTCCCTTGTCACCAGGTTGCATGGAGCCAGCTTCCATGGCCAATCAGGTAGCCAGGGGGAAGAGTAATTTCCTATCTTCCTGATTATCCGGGAAGCCGGCTACATGCTACCTCGTCAAAGAGCATGGAGCTGGCTTTTTGGCCAATTAGGGAGCCGGGTAGCGTATAATGACTCGCCACCTGACTTCCTAATTGGTCAGGGAGCTGACCAATCAGGAACCCGAGCAGCGAGTCATTACGCACCCCCCAGCTTCCTGGTTGGCCAAAAAGTCGGCTCCATGCGTCCTCATCACCTGGTGACGAGGGAGCATGGAGCTAGCTTCCCGGCTAATCAGGAAGCCTGGCGGCGAGTCATTTAGAGCTGCAGCTAACGATTATTTTCAAAATCGATTAGTTAGCCGATTATTAAGTTTGATTAATCGGTTAATCGGATAAACAATAAAATAAAGTTTAAAAAATGGCTCCAGTGATAGGACTACTAGTTTGTATTGAGGTGTGGAGCTGTGAACAGGGCCAACTGATCGGAAGCCGATTAATCGATTATTGAAAAAGTTGACAACTTTTTCAATAATCGATTATAATCGATTATGTCGATTAGTTGTTGCAGCCCTAGAGTCATTACACCCCCCCTCCCCGCTTTCTTAATAGGCTTTTTGGTATTGGTATTTGGTATCGGCGAGTACGGGAAAAAAATAATCGATACGGAAAAAACGATATAGGTGCATCCCTAACTTTACGGTAAGTGCATTTTTTTTAAACATGGCTCCTGTGTTTTCAAAGTGGGAAATGCCTGCATTAAAACTGCTGACAAACATTTTACCTTTGGTTCCATACATCTTTATTGTTAGCGAAGGTATCTTTGACTATCCCTGCATACCAATTGACCTTAATCAATAATGGAATCATTTTCTGAATGAACTCACTGCACATTTCTGTGTTTGTGTCCTCAAACATCTCCAAAAGCCCCGAAATATAATGCAGAAACTCTAGATTTTCTACCTTGGGCTTCAGACTGGGAGCAACTGCATCCCCTTTTGACTTTGTCACTTTAATTATTCAATTTTAAAAATATATAATCTTATCCTCTCCCACCTGCTGATACATACATCAACAAAACATTTCTGTTACTACATTTGTATGTTCCAATTTTATTAATTTGTTTTTACCTACAGGAAACCATCCCCTGGTTACCCTTTATCCCTTCCCTTATCCTTTCCTATCCCACTTCATCATTTTTTTCATATATTTTGGGATATACACCAACTATTTTATCGTTTAATGTACAATATATGTTTCACAATGCATGTGCTTGTGCAAATTGGGTGTATATTTAACACTTAACAAAACCAGAATTCACAAAAATAAAAGTTTATTTTAATCGTGCTTATGGTAAAGGAGAACTATGAGGTGAGTGCTTTTCACTCACCTCATAGTTCTAGCCGACATGTGACAATGAGACTGTCACAGGTCGGCTCAGTAGATCGGGAGGTTCGTTCACCTCTCGATCCTGTCACGGCTCTCTGCCGTGACAGGGGAGGGGCTGGATTCCCCCCTCCCCGCTCTGATCCGCCAGCGCTGACTGGCGGAACGGACGGGGGAGGGGGCGGGTACAGCTGGCTCTGGCTCTAGATAGGCAGAGCCAGCTGTCAGTCATGCAGCTGGGTGGATCCCGGAACAATTGTCGGGATCCGCTTCAGCTGCGGCGTCTCAGTATACCGCGAGCAGCAGCTCGCGGTATACTGAGCCTAGGGTGACGGGAGGACGCTAGTTTGTTTCCTCCCGTTACCCTAAGGAGAACTATGGGGAAAAGACTTAACCCCATAGTTCTCCTTTAATGACTGGAACATTTTGAATCCCTAGAAGATGGTTCAGCTAGCTGTCCTTCAGATTCTGGAGGTGTGAATGCTAACAGGGACTGAAGTATATTTTGCATGACGAAATTCAAAACAATATTTTGACACTGAAATTGATCTACTAAATGGCAGTCTGTGCAGGTTCTACTGTAATAACATAGCCAAATCCTGTTCCTTGTGACATTTCAATGTCCTTGTCAAATAAAATGAAGGCAGCAAGGCAAGTTTTGTCATGAAAAAATATAAGAACAATTGTTTCTAAGGCCTCAGAGCTGTTATGCATTTAGACATTCAGAGAATAGGTAGCTGACCTTTACAGTTCCATTATTTTTCACAAACACGCTGAAAACATATTTAAACCTTATTATGATGCCATCTAAATGTATCTCAACTCTTTCCAGCATTTAATATCTTCCAAGTGCAGGCAGCATAGCTTCCCCATAAGGAATTCCAAATCAATATAAAAAAATAAGCTAACATACAGTAAACCAATGTTTTCATTTTACATCACAGCCTAACAAAACATCCAATAGTACAAAAATTGTAAAATCAAGTACAGAAATGGTTGAAAGAATATACGTTTCTGTATTTCAGCCTACAAGGTAGAAAATTAGTTCTAACAATCTCCTATAGAACTCTAAATGCAACCTAATTAAAACAAAATTAGATGGACACCCCACCACATACTATATATTTGTTTCTACCAAAACACATTTGGGGTGTATTTATAAACAATTCACAGAGCCATTCGCCCTGCAGATAGCACCTACATTACATCTGTGCAAATGGAGGCCAAATTAATATTTTCTTTCCAGGTTGAATGTATTATTAGGTAAATACAACATTATGGCCACTAGATGGAGCTGAGGAACATAGAAAATACCGTAAATACTTATCTCCTATGTAGTTCTGCTCCATCTAGTGGCAAACTTACATGGGTGGGTTGCTGTAATTAGACAGCTTTTTTTCCTGCTCACACGCATGCGCGTGCAGAACAAACCCGTCCATTGTATCTGCAGATTTTCTATGGTCAGATAAAAAAAGTGCAACAGATCCCTCCATGTACACTAAACTGTGTGGATGGAGGAATATCCCACTGGGCCAAGCTTCAGTATCTTGCTAGTCGGCCCCGCTGGCTCTCACAATACCTGAACAATGCCTACTCCAATCAGATTGTTCAGGTATTTTGACAGTCAGCGGGGCTGACTAGCAAGATACTGAAGCTGGGCCCAGTAGGAGATATAGTTTCTGGTATGGGATATAAAAAAATATTTGTTGCATACAAGACAAAGTAGATTACATTCATTTAATTAAATCACGTTAGCTAAAAAAGAAAAAAGGCATACCAGACCTGCTCTGCCATGTTATTAGTTTTCATTGGTCAGAAATATACCAATAGTTTATTCCACTTGAAAGTCCAACTCTGGTCTCATTTCTTCACCCCCAGTACTTCCCTCACCCTGCTGGAGACCTCCATTGTATTTTTTATTCTTTAAAATGATCTTGTCTTAAAAATGCACACAAGTACCTGAACTATTTACAAAAGTGTACGTTATTTGTGCATCATTCAGCTGTAGATGCTCAAATCATCTCTGAATTGGTGCTGACACTGTTCTTCCTTCTGGAGGGTGACTACTTTTGTTCCCCATGATACCTGTGTGTGTTGTAAA